CCATGTCTTCTTTCCTGCGTCGTTTGTTTGAAAATCGGAGTGTTTTTGAGCTCGTAGTTTCGTCTTCGTTGTGGAATGGCCGTGCGTACATTCTCCTTGGAATTACCAAAGTCACACCCCCGTTTATTACATTACTAGGAGTTTTGCCGGCAGCCACGATAGTTTTTATCCCTGCTTCCATACATCCTTTCATTGAATAGCCAAACGAAACTTTGTGGCGCGCCTTAGTTTTTTGTGGCGCGGGGGTCTCAAGTTTGTCACTTCGAGTTGTACACAACAGGCCACACCATCTCAAAGGACCAAAAACACCAAGTGAGCAAAGTATTTCAACGTTGCGATTTTGCCTGGCCTACTGTGAAGATGGAGACTTCTACTCGGTAGCAGATACTCGTATCAATAAGCTGGGAGGGAGAGCGTGGCGAGTAAAATGTTGGGATGAAAAGAGCCACATTCTCTCTCGGAAAATGTCGTCGTTCCCACACACGTACACTTGCTCTACCCAGATCTGCAGAAGGCTAGATTTTGCATGCACGTGCGAGATTCGCATCCGCCGCGCACATAGCCAGAGTCGAAATTTTTGTACTCTCGGATTTGCCACCATCTTGACGAGTGGCCGCTGCGAAACACCCGTGGGGCAGGTTAGGGCAGGTTAGGACAGGTTAGGGCAGGTTAGGACAGGTTAGGACAGGTTAGGACCAGGTTAGGGCAGGTTAGGACCAGGTTAGGGCAGGTTAGGGCAGGTTAGGGCAGGTTAGGACCAGGTTAGGGCAGGTTAGGACCAGGTTAGGGCAGGTTAGGGCAGGTTAGGGCAGGTTAGGGCAGGTTAGGACAGGTTAGGGCAGGTTAGGGCAGGTTAGGACAGGTTAGGGCAGGTTAGGACAGGTTAGGACAGGTTAGGACCAGGTTAGGACAGGTTAGGACAGGTTAGGACCAGGTTAGGGCAGGTTAGGACAGGTTAGGGCAGGTTAGGGCAGGTTAGGGCAGGTTAGGACAGGTTAGGGCAGGTTAGGGCAGGTTAGGACAGGTTAGGGCAGGTTAGGACAGGTTAGGGCAGGTTAGGACCAGGTTAGGGCAGGTTAGGGCAGGTTAGGGCAGGTTAGGGCAGGTTAGGGCAGGTTAGGACAGGTTAGGGCAGGTTAGGACAGGTTAGGACAGGTTAGGGCAGGTTAGGACAGGTTAGGACAGGTTAGGACAGGTTAGGACAGGTTAGGACAGGTTAGGACAGGTTAGGACAGGTTAGGACAGGTTAGGGCAGGTTAGGACAGGTTAGGGCAGGTTAGGGCAGGTTAGGACAGGTTAGGGCAGGTTAGGGCAGGTTAGGGCAGGTTAGGACAGGTTAGGGCAGGTTAGGACAGGTTAGGACAGGTTAGGACCAGGTTAGGGCAGGTTAGGACCAGGTTAGGGCAGGTTAGGGCAGGTTAGGGCAGGTTAGGGCAGGTTAGGGCAGGTTAGGGCAGGTTAGGGCAGGTTAGGACAGGTTAGGGCAGGTTAGGACAGGTTAGGACAGGTTAGGACCAGGTTAGGGCAGGTTAGGACCAGGTTAGGACAGGTTAGGACAGGTTAGGGCAGGTTAGGACAGGTTAGGGCAGGTTAGGACAGGTTAGGGCAGGTTAGGACAGGTTAGGACAGGTTAGGACCAGGTTAGGGCAGGTTAGGACCAGGTTAGGACCAGGTTAGGACAGGTTAGGACAGGTTAGGGCAGATTAGGGCAGGTTAGGGCAGGTTAGGACAGGTTAGGGCAGGTTAGGGCAGGTTAGGGCAGGTTAGGACAGGTTAGGGCAGGTTAGGACAGGTTAGGGCAGGTTAGGACAGGTTAGGACCAGGTTAGGGCAGGTTAGGGCAGGTTAGGACAGGTTAGGGCAGGTTAGGGCAGGTTAGGGCAGGTTAGGGCAGGTTAGGACAGGTTAGGACAGGTTAGGACAGGTTAGGACCAGGTTAGGGCAGGTTAGGACCAGGTTAGGACAGGTTAGGACAGGTTAGGGCAGGTTAGGACAGGTTAGGGCAGGTTAGGACAGGTTAGGGCAGGTTAGGACAGGTTAGGGCAGGTTAGGACAGGTTAGGGCAGGTTAGGACAGGTTAGGACCAGGTTAGGGCAGGTTAGGACCAGGTTAGGGCAGGTTAGGACAGGTTAGGGCAGGTTAGGACAGGTTAGGGCAGGTTAGGACAGGTTAGGACCAGGTTAGGGCAGGTTAGGACCAGGTTAGGGCAGGTTAGGACAGGTTAGGGCAGGTTAGGACAGGTTAGGGCAGGTTAGGACAGGTTAGGGCAGGTTAGGACAGGTTAGGACCAGGTTAGGGCAGGTTAGGACCAGGTTAGGGCAGGTTAGGGCAGGTTAGGACAGGTTAGGGCAGGTTAGGACAGTCTAGAACAAGCTAGAATTTTACTCTACATCGGTATGTACGCGGTATCAACCACCTCGAGAGTTAAGATCGGTCTACATTGTAGCCAATTTGTAGGCTATGACTCTGAAGCCCTCGTTCATCAGCACCAGACAGTATTGTAGAGATGGCTGTGTGCACTCACCTGAATTTCAAAATCCAGCATGTCAGTGTCCTTTACACCAATTACTTCGGCGATGAGACCAAGTACCTTCATGCTCTGCAGTAGATATCACACCACAAACAAAAACTACCTCAGCAAGATGGAAGATAAAACATTAACTATAATTGTAATGTTCTGTGCATACCAGCGTGTTGATTATCCGGACGATTTTGCGGAATGGCCAGCGGCCAAAACACTAGTGAAAGTAAAAAGGTGGGCTTGGTGGGGAGTTGGGTACACACAACCTGTGTATGTTCAACAGAACACAGTGGAAAAGCACAGTGAAGACCATGGTGCAGAACACAGTGCAGTGCGTAGAGGTGTGCCCGTCGTGTATTGAATCCATTCTCAATAGGCTGTGGGTTCGATTCTAGGTTGGGACAAACTACTATGTAACTACCAGTATGTTTTCCACGTCAACACACCAGTACTCTTTCACTATCCAAACAGTTCCCTTATCCAAACACCTCTAGACATGCAACTGCCCAGACGGGCTCAGATAGTCGATACTTCACTGCAGTCTGCAGTTGTAATATTTATCATGACAGGATCCAGCCTGCACAATTATACATACAGCTGCCAGGTGTTATCACATCGCAGTTAGAATTGAATAGAAATACCCCTCAGGGGCAATACATGAAGAACAACTTGAATTAGTGGCTTGTGGTACATTTCGGAGTGTGCCAAACTTACAGCAGGCTTGGAAAGCGAATGCAGACCAAGAAACAGATCGGCAACCTTGTTGCCTTCTCCCTTGATTTGAGCTGCAGCTTTCTTGCGATCATCCTGACTCTTGAACACACTGCGTCTGTGAAGCACCAGACAATTGTAGCAAAGAACTTAGTTTCACGCCTAACGGTTCATTGGGTGCAGTTAGAAACAACATGGAAACCCAGAAACAAGTCTACTATAAAACCAGAGATCTCGCCGGTGCTTTCTTCTTGGCGCTTTCGTAAAGGTGGTGCATAATTGAATGAAACATTGCCTAACTTTCAACCTGTGGCCGGTGCGGGTTCTGTGTGTGTTGACAGACTAAAACATGGACCTGTGTGTGTTAAAAGTTGTTTACACCGAAAACTTCTCTCCATCTACTGTTGAGCTTGGGAAATACCAAAAATGACGTTTCTTGTTTCAGAGTATTACAGATACCGGAAATTGCTGGTTGTACTGGACAGACCATCAGTAGCAATAACTACCTGGTAGTCAGTGCTTTCACATACTCCTTCACAAGACGCTTCTGCAATGCATTCATCAAGGTCGAGAAGTACCTGACAACATACGCACAGCAGCAACACAGCCATATTACACATCAAACCGTGGGGAGGTCATGTGTGCACTAGATAACACAAGCAAGTGAAAGTACACACACAATGCAGGTGTACTGGAGTAGTTTCCCATCCAATACAGTGCTGTCTGTCTGTCTGTCTGTCGGATGTCTTGCAAACATCAGTGCTTGAATCAAGATGTAATCAACTAAATCTATCACCAATAATCCATTGAACTGGTCTCTGCACTGCATCCAGGGGGGGGATCAACCCTTATTTTGCCCTGGGCCAGCATCAGGATTGGCTGGGGAAATAGGAATGAGCATAGGTTGCTGTATTGGTGGCCACAATCTGAGATACTGGTTCAGTGAGCGCAGATCAACAGTGGCGTGGAGCAGGAAACAGAGATGGTGACATCATAGTTCATACGAAAAAATGTAAATGTACACGTATCATACTGCGTCTAGGATACTGGCTCTGTTGCCGCTCTTCACTCATCAATGATTAACGATAGTACTGTACTTACTGTGGTCGCAGGCTCTTGAAATCAGCAGCATAGTCACGCACTGTTGCATCAATGGTGTCCATGGCCTTGGATGAGCCAATCCTACAGTGTAAGTATTATGTGTACAGTAACAGCAAGTACATACGTACGGCTCAACTTAGTATTTTGTCAATAAGTTGAAGTAGTTACCCAATGAAACTGAACTACAGACACAGTGGAGGAACAAGACAATGGTGCATGCACCAAAAAAACCATGCATATCACTGACAGTATATGCATACTGGGCCATGGTATGCACTCAATTCATGAATGAACATGCAGTGCAGGCCCAAACATGCATATGCATGTATGTACAGTCTGCACTGCATGCTCCAACACTGTATGTCCCAGCACCAGACTTCATGATTACTCAAAGAGCACTCCATACCGCCGGCAATGCAACGACTTAGACCTTTTCCACAAAACGCCCAGAAACGATTGTGACCCGCTCGTAGTAAGCATGAATTGTCATGCAACCGGCCAAGCACAGATGTCTACAGTTCTGAAAGTATGTGCACACACTTAGCTCAAGGTAGAACATACACGTGCATACAGCTCAAGGTAGGACGTACCATTTCTTAGTCAGGAGGTCGGCAAGGAACATATCCAAGTCTATGAAGACGATGTCGCAAAGCATATCCAACCTGGACACGGTGCATGACACATAGTACACAACGGTGCCAACATCAAACCAACATAGATAGGACTGATCAAGAGCAAGCACCACACAGTAAGGGCAAATTGCAGGGCTGTTTCTACGTGTATGTGCTCACAATGTCATTCACAAGCATGAATACTCCACAATGTCATTCACAAGCATGGATGCTTAGGTACTGCACATGGCATATACATATATGCTACATGTAAGTATTCCAGTTCATAGTAACCCTGTTATCATCTATTGCCAAAATAAGGCAAAGCCAAGACACAGCAGCTCAGCGCCACCACGGTAGTACAGTAGGCAGGATTTTACACCCAGACATTTGCAAATCAGGTACGAAATGCAATGCTCTACTCGGGTAGAATCTTCTTGAGCCTGACTTGAGGTGCTTGCATTCAAAATCACAAAGATGGCAATCCAAATCAACTACAGTCTATCAGTTTGGTCGGTGCTGATTACTTCCCCGCGGCCACGTAGGGTCAAAATGTCTACATGACCTGGCAGTGCAGCAGCATCTTGACATGCTGTTAAAGGAAATACTCACGTTCCATCGGCGATGATTTCAAATCGCTTCTTGCATTCCTCAAACAGCTCGGCAAACATCTCCTCAAGCCTTGCAGACATCGGCGCAGTCTCAGCAATGGCCAAAGCCTGATCCTGCGAGCAACAAACAGGAAGGCAGAGAAGATTCAGAAGAGCAAAGTGCTTCAGTCCTGTTGCTGATACAAGATTCTCTAATTTAACAAAGACCCAAGGTTACTTATCAGCGGCAACTATCCTCTTTGGAACAGTATGCGGGTCCACACAATCCACATACTGACAAAGTCAGATTACCGTGGTTGTGTGAGTCTACTTTAAAATGGGGAAGGAATGGAATGAGAGCACAGCACAAACTCATTGGGACATTTCCGTGTTACACAGGGCTGGGTTGCAACAACGACACCACCACCAGCAGCACTAGCAGCCGCACTAGCAGTACTAGCAGCAGCAGCAGCAGCAGCAGCACCAACACCACCACCACCACCAGCAGGATGATTTATTAATGTATTGCTTACCTGAAGGCGGCCAGTGTACTCTTTTAGCTGGAAGCAGTTGTTGACTGTGGCGATCTACAATAGATGATAGGAGGAGATGAGTAAGAAAGAGGAGTCAGAAGAGAGAACTGAGAAGTGAGAAAGATCTCAGCTCACAATAATATAGTGTGCAGACAAAATCGGACTGTACGACAGGAATCAGTTGTGAAAGAGATCAGCCTCGCATCTGGTAAATCTGATATCTGATGTGATAAATATACAGATGATACTGATCACCGCATACTGCAGATCGCTGCTCTGGATATGTGATGAGATCCAGGAAAACAAAACTGCTGAATAACTATTGCCAGATTTCCATAACACACGCCTATAGGAAAACAGGTTAGACTGCAGTGTTCACTCTTACCATGTATTGCAGGTTAGAGTGCAGTGTTCACTCTTACCATGTATTGCAGGTTAGAGTGCAGTGGTCACTCTTACCATGTATTGCAGGTTAGAGTGCAGTGGTCACTCTTACCATGTATTGCAGGTTAGACTGCAGTGTTCACTCTTACCATGTATTGCAGGTTAGAGTGCAGTGTTCACTCTTACCATGTATTGCAGGTTAGAGTGCAGTGTTCACTCTTACCATGTATTGCAGGTTAGACTGCAGTGTTCACTCTTACCATGTATTGCAGGTTAGAGTGCAGTGTTCACTCTTACCATGTATTGCAGGTTAGACTGCAGTGTTCACTCTTACCATGTATTGCAGGTTAGAGTGCAGTGTTCACTCTTACCATGTATTGCAGGAAGTACACCGGTTCCCGACGGCCTTCAGCGATGTATTTGTTCTTGAACTTGATGATTTCAGCTGCAACAGCAGCAGCAGCAAGCCAGTGATAGCACAGAGCACAGTAGGTCAGTACATACACACAGGATGGCAGCCAGTCAGGTATTCTACACATAAGCACATCAGCACATCAGCACAACAGTACTACACACCAGCACAACAGTACTACACACCAGCACAACAGTACTACACACCAATGCAAAGCCCAATGCAGGACACGACTAGATAGAATCCTAATGAAGTACTACTCATCGCCAGCAGAATAGATGACATGGGAAGAGCACTGGTGCCCAACCTAAAGAGGAATCCATGTACAATGTACTCGAGTTGAAGTCTGCAACAATGGGACACATGCATCACTTTCCAACCATTCGGCTTAGCAGGACAAATCCACTACAAGGGTACACACGGCGATAACAGCCCTGCACAAAAGGTCATGAATGGTGTAAGGTAACACTCATAAATGCACTGGAGCTGCTTGTATCCGCAAAAGATGCGACAAGTTACCCTGCAAAAGGTTGAGGCTATCTTCGATGGATACCTCATTCATCGCCATTCCACTGCTCGTCGTTTGGAAACACCAAAAGTATGAAGCTCGCTGAGAGTGTGTAGGTATATTATACCTGTCCATGTGCCGTTGATCTGCAACTCTGTACTACAAGAAAACCATCCCAGTTGTGGACTCCACTGAGGCAGTACTGGAGTTGTATGTTTTGAGCGGCTAAGGAGAGGGATATGGACTATAGGCAATACAGATCTACTGTGCAGTTTGTGGAGCGAAACGCTCAGTTGCTTACCCTCATATTTCTCTTGGAATTCGTGAAGCATGGTGACAAACAGTTCCATCACCTGAACACGACACATTATGCCAAGACAGGAGGAATACAGTGTCACAGAATACAGATCAACAACGGCAACTAGAGATAGATTAGTGAGATTACAGAAAGAAATTAGTCCCGATTCCTAGCCATGGATTTTCTGATTCACAGAGTCAATGTTAAGATTCATTGGAAGAATTGGTGTACCAATTTCAAGGATGTGACATTGACTGCTATTTTTTTAATACATTGACTGCTATTTTTTTAATACATTGACTGCTATTTTTTTAAGCAATAAGAACCATAATCATCACTGAGACCGTGAAAACCCCTGGTGTGGCATTACAATGGTTACGGATGCTAGTAGTTATGGATAGTGGCATGGGGAAGAAGAATACTGCTTACCTTCACTCTCAGGTCAATGCTGGTCTCTTGGACAAGATCCAACTATCACAGCACAACAAAGAAGGAAACAAGTGATTACGTGTTAACAAACAAACGAGTATTTGTGCTAGTGAACGAACGTTTGTGTCAACGAACACTGCAGTAATGAAGTTCAACTGCCTAAATGACAGTTGAAACTGCAAAGGAAACTCAGGACAGCATGAAAGTTACTGCTGTATGACAGGCAATATACGGTCAGGTACTGTTCAGGTACTGTTCAGGTTGACTTGACTCGACGCAACTTGCGCGTGACTGCAGTGGATAGTACTACAGTAGTAGAGTGGTTTACAGTACCAGTAGTATCTGTAGTCTGTACTTGCAAACTTTCCAGGCATGCAATGTCCGTGCATACGCATACCACAAACGATCTCTTATCCAACCCAACCACTAATGATTTCCTATCGAACGCAATCACTAACGATCAACCTAGCTGCCGAATGAGTACTTGAGTACTCGATTCGATCCTTTGCTCCCTGCAACAAAGCAGACCAGAGTAACATCAATACACCGAGCCCAGCGCAGACAAGACACAAGTAACAGTAACACACGTTAAAGCTTACATTTTGTGAGATCATCTGGCCAAGCAGCACTGGCATATCGGTATGATAGTGCTTGTCAACATTACTCCGGGGCTCTGTTGTTCTCCACCAATCCTGTCATGCATACACATACACATACACACAAACTTCAAGAACAAGGATATGAACAAACACTTATGCATGCAGCGTATCTACGACAGAGATGGAGAGAGAGAGAGAGAGAGAGAGAGAGAGAGAGAGAGAGAGAGAGATGGAGAGAGAGAGAGAGAGAGAGAGAGAGAGAGATGGAGAGAGAGAGAGAGAGAGAGAGAGAAACTAAGCAAATGTTTGCGACGGTGTATTTACCTTGACCTCTGCTTCTATCATACGCTTCATCCAGTCACTGACGGTGCCTTGAATCAAGTGCAAATACCTATAGTTGTAGCACGCACACAGATACACAAAAGCATACGTACAAAAACTAATTATCCAGGCACAATGTCTGCTGGATAAGGTTAAAAAAAAGCACTGTGACATTGATGGCCAGGAGAAGAAGCTACATGTATTCCATTTATAAAACCGTCAAGGTTGAAAATGGCATGTTAGGGGTGGTATATGCCACCAGACTGGTGCCTCTAACATAATGAATCCCACAGTGCTGCTCAATGAAAATCCGATTGCAAGTGCTCTGCACCAGTGCACAGCCCAGTGTTCACAGTCCTGGGCTGCACTGCGACCGGCATGACATTGACTCGCATGATCGGATATCATTGACCAGTACTTCACAACACGATTGGCTCAGTGTGAGTGCGGATTGTACAAAAAGTACAAAGTTTTAGTTACGGAGGCAGCTCTATTTACAGTTTAGTGACTTACTGTTCTTCTAATTCCTTGACATAACGTGGAGAGATAAGTGGATCAAAGGATGACACGTCCACAGTCAACTCATCGGCTAACATCATCTCACTGTGGCAAACACAAACACAAAGCACAAAGATGACAAGGAAGTTGAGGAAGTCAGCAACTGTAGGAAGTTAACAACTTCAGTGGCCAAGTGCCGGCTACCCTTCCGTGTCCACACAACAACAGCAGCAGCAGCAGCAGCAGCAGCAGCAGCAGCAGCAGCAGCAGCGGCAGCGACGACGCCAACAACAACAACAACGATGCGTAACGCTCAAGAGCGTTTCATCACATAGAGCAGAGCCTCAATTTCACGGTAAGCGTGTCTAGGCAGTTCATATGGTGACGTCATAAACTTGATGCGCAACTGGCATGGGTCTTAGAGATAGAGCACCACGAAACAAGTTGTCCAATGGCAAAGATAGGTAAAAGATAGGTATGCTTTGAATAAAGCTAGTATGTGACTGTAAGCACTGGAGAGAATAGAATACTCACGGATATTGTTTGAGCCAACACAACAATGTGATGATCTCACCGGGTTCCATTCTCTGGCCACCAACATCTTCCATCTATTCACGCCCGTATTTGCACACACGCGCACACATCACACACGCGCATACATACATACACACACACACACACACACACACACACACACACACACACACACACACACACACACACACACACACACACACACACACATTTATCTTCAGATCGAGAAAACACAGCTATAATAGGGAGGTTCAGTGACTCGTTGTGAACTCGTACACGAAACGAAATCAATTTCTCAGGTTTGAAGGTGGTAGAGACAAACATCAGGTTGCTGAATGTCAGCACCACATTAAAAACCACACCAATCGGCATTTTGCTAAAAGTTGCACGCTCTGACTCACCAGTACCTTGCTTATAACTGTTAGTGTTGGACAAACTACGGATAACATGTCAACTTTTGGTCCATTCTTTACAAATTTTTTGTCAGTCTGACTTTTTTCGCAAGAGATAAAAACTTTAAAAATGTGCTTGTGAAATTGTGTACATGCACACTTTACACAAAACATACAAAACGCGCATGCAGCAAAAGCACGCCGGTAAGCAAGTGACAATACAATCATGTAAAAGGATAAGACTGGACATTGACCAACTCACCACCGATGTCAGCGTCTTGTGGTACATGTTGACATAGCGATCGAATATCTCATATTGTGGTGGGAAGAGCGGAACAGCCAAATTCTGCATTCACATAATCAACCCAGACGAGCAGAAAAAGATGAGAAATGTATACCGGTGTTGCAGGGTAAGTACAATGTACTTCAAAACGAAGTAGGTCAAGACCTATCTTCCCACATCTTTGGGTCATTACTCATAAATACATCTTGCCAACCTTTGCAAACCTGAGATGGGGACAATGACATACACGTACGTACCTAGCTATGAAAATGTATAGAAATGCAGCTGTGAGGTATGCGACTAATGCACCTTTGGATGCCGGCTACCACCCTCGATATCGGGACGGTCCCGACCATATCGGTATGATTGGTAGGTATGTGAATATCTCATACATGTACAATGAGGGTCTACTCCATACATGTACAATGAGGGTCTACTCCATACATGTACAATGAGGGTCTACTAGTAGGCCTACTCCCATCACTGGTGAGCTCTGTTGGAGCAAAACAGCTATCTGGAGGGTCTGCACTATCCATATCTCGGCGGAATTGTCCTCGCTATGGTGGTGATGTGCAAGTGGAATGGGTCGGTCGAGAGCACATTGCGGTGTGATTGATATTTACAGGTAATCCTACCAGCAAGTGTAAATGTAACATAGCCATGTATCACTGTGTATAAGCTAAACCTCTACTCAGTTGAATTTCCTGAAATCTGTAGAAGCACAGTCTACAAACTTTTAAACTTGAACAGAAAAGGAAAATGCTATTGCAACATACAGTACTGCAGGAGCCAAAGAACGGAGTGCTGAAGAACGGAGTGCTGAAGAACGGAGTGCTGAAGAACGGAGTGCTGAAGAACGGAGTGCTGAAGAACGGAGTGCTGAAGAACGGAGTGCTGAAGAACGGAGTGCTGAAGAACGGAGTGCTGAAGAACGGAGTGCTGAAGAACGGAGTGCTGAAGAACGAACAGGCTAGGATTTCACCAAGCACAGCATGCCAATGTATACACAGTGACTCAGCTGTGCATAGACTGTAGTACATGTACATGAAAATAAGCAGGGTCCAGGCTACGAGGCTGATCCCTCAGTTCTTTAGCACCTGGCAGTACTGTAGTCCTCAACAGCAATGGCCAAAATGCGTTGCTAACTGACCTTGACAACAACGAGATCTTCTACGACGATTTTACGCAGGTCCATCAAGTAACGGCCCAGCCATGCCTTGTCGATGTCCCGGGTTTCCATCTGAACGCCTTCAAACCTGAGCGGGCATATTAGGGGATACACAAGAAGACGTGAAGCACTTTTAAACAGAAGAGCGATTTTCAAACTCCACCCACTATCCGCTGCACCTGGAACCAGCATTGTTGCAACAAGAGTGTGCAACTACGCATCTATGATTCATAAAACCACTCCCACAGCAAAGGTTTTGCTAAGGATATTATTATGAATCATACGATAACCAGTCATACTGGAAGACCAGGGCCAAATGATTGCCTCACTGAGGTAATAACAGGGAATCCACGTGCACGGTTAGGGGTGATACGTTTCTAGTCGGTATGTCAGACGTGAACAAATTTCTCATTTCACACTCCTATCCGTACCCAGATCCATACATACCAGCCACAGAAGGACTCCTCTGATGTGCCAAAACCAACACCAAACGTCAGATTTGCGGAGGCCGTCATGTGGATAAGAAGCAAGTGTCTTTCTACTCAATTTCAGCATTGTATAAAAGTGCAGCTGCCGTGTATTGTTCCAGTTTTCGCATACAATCACCAAAACAACTGGTGTGCACAGCACCATGGTGTCTGAACAAGTATCAACGGGATGTATCTTACCGATTCATGACAGCATTGTCAATGGTGGAGAGTGCTTTCTCGCGCCAATTTTTCGGACGATCAGGCGATTGGAAGCCAGAGTTTTTCCGCCGCTCCTCGGCGTAAGCATCAGCTCTATACAACACACAAGGATATACAGCGCATAGCCATGCATGCCCATACAAATGCATACACAAGTTAAAACTTATGAATTATGATGCTCGTACTTTTTCTGGCCGGAATCACGAAAGTAACAAAAACCCTGATACCCCAGGCTGAAACAGAAACTTCCATACATCTGGTACAAAAGGGTGATTTTCACGGTTTTGATATTTCAAAATCTGTGATCATGTTTCAGGGTCTGCCTAAAACGTTGCAGTGGTAGTGGAGGGGGGGGGGGGGCACCCTATTCCCTGGACTGTCCCGGGAAACCCTGGACGGTTGGCATGTATGTATTCTGAGCCAAGACTCAAGCATGAGCAGAAATACAGTGATTATGTCATTACAGCTTGTTGTTCGGCACTGCTCATGATTACCAGGCAAAGTTGATAGAAGTCGTTTTGTCCCGCCCTGCAAGCCTACACGTTTGCTTGTCTGCGCCTGGCAAAGACTGCTACAAGTCACATTGGACTTACCTCTCCTCTCTTTCGATGATACGGAATGTCGTGACGGCGAGAGCTGGACTGTTGCGCACAGTGTGCAGTAGCCGCTGTAAAATGAACCACATCTGCGCGCCCAGTGTGCTCTAAAGTAGCCAGAGCAGGAACATAAACGCATGGCAAAATGTCACACACACACACACACAGCACGTACGTACGTACACACATACACACAAGCACATAACCAAATGCATGCACGCATGCATACCGTTACACAACTAAGGTCGCACACAAATTTAAAAAGTACCGCATGAATGTAAATAAGAGTCATCGTGTCTGCAGTAACTTACACACATTTACGTTTATGCTGGTTGTTGCTGGCTAGCACACTGAGAACATTCCAAACTACTGTAACTGCCCCATGACTCACCGAAAGCTCCTTGACTGGCTCGAAATACCGTAGCAGAGGCTAGAGGAACACAAAGAAAAAGAAAGGAATAATATCTTGGCGTTAGGTAGGAACAAATAAAACAATGATGCGGCACAGGAGTCATCCAATGATGTTAAGTGTTAATACAGTACTGACAAAGCATCCTCAGGCGTGAGCAGAGTAGATAGTGGAGAATAGCAGAAACAACATGCGGAGCAAAAGACTTCACAAGATTCTGACCTGATTGACAGACCGGACATCAGCCGTGTCCTCCGAGGACTTGTGCATCTGATAGAGCAGCTCGTCACGTGTGTTCTCCAGCTCATGGAGTCTAGCAAAACATGGGCAAAATTCAAATTATGTCAATTACCAAAAACATCATTGAATCGTCTCTTTACAGCATTTGAACAAAAATAAGAAAATAAATATCAACCAATAATCAGGCCTCGGGCCGAATGAAATGTGTGATGATAGGACTAACTTCTACCATCACAATAGATTAAAATCTTATAGTGATTGTCAATTTATGGTCGAGTTCTGGGAGAGAACGGACTGTACTTGAACAAGAAACACAATCTTAATGATAGCTTGCATAGACCTCGGTCCTACCGGTAGGACCTACCGGTAGGACCATCATACACAGACATGCTGCATGGCCTCTGTTCTAACATTGACCTAAAACTTGACCCTAAACTGTTGCTCAGGGGCTAATGAAGGAGTCCACAAATTTTAGACGTGATCGCAAAAGGCATAGTACGAAATTCCATGGTAACAGCAAATGGTAACCATGGAAACGGTGTATGGAATTATGCATTCCACTGCCTTGGCAGACTAATAAAAACATTAATACCTCACCACGATTGATGTGCCATGGTCAAAATTCACTTTGGACAGAGTTGCTAGCGCTCCGACACGAGTATGTGCGGCCATTTTGACAATTGATAAAATTGCGCGTATGCAATGCACTGAACATAGTCTTGCATTTTGCGCCATTACTTTGCCTGACAAAGACCTCATCTCAACAATTGTTTCAAGAAATTTCTCAACCAAAAGCACTTTTGCAGCGCGATTTCTTGGGTCCTACCGGTAGGACCCGTGGTCCTACCGGTAGGACGGCATGCAAGCTATCATTAACTTCACAACCATAACTCCCAAAAATGCATGGCACCGGCACGGAACATACAAGCATGGACGCACGGACAAGCATGGACGAAAGTCATGGACAACCGAGCTTACTTCTGATGGGCAGCGAGAAGGTTGGAGTTTTGTATCATCTCGTTGGCTTCAGTCACTACCGTCGGCACTGTGTAGATGTGTTTGAGATGATCCACTGCAGCAGCCAACTGCAATGTCACACGGGGAACAGAGAGCAGAACATTGCTCAGGAGTCAGAGACAGTACAATGAAACAAGTGAAAAAAGCAGCCAGCTGGGCTGCTCAAGTGTACCTGCAAATGTTACAAGGGATGTTGAAGTCTGGAATGTTCGATGATAACTATCTGGACAGCTAGCTGTTACAACACTTGGTCTCACCAGCAGCAGCTGCAGGTCAGCTGGGTGATAAGGTCATACGGTAACAGTTCACTGGTCACAATCAGTGACTGTGCATATTATGTGCATGGATGATACAAAGTGGGACCTGCAGTTCTCCTTTCATACACATCCATGTACACGGGTGACACTACACATACCGTAGTGTCTTGTATTAAAGCCTATCTCGAATAGAAGCCTCTTTGAATACATGTACATTACAAGCCTGATTTTCAAGATACACTGTCGGCACATAAGCCTGGTTTCAGTGTTGACACACATAGAAATACCTGGTTTGAATAGAAGCCTAGCCCTTACATCGGCTTCTAAGCAAGGCTTTAATACGCGACATTATGGTACATGTACGGTAGAGAAAACACATGAAACCCAGCCTCATGAATACCGTAGAGCCACGTTCACTGCAGAGCCCAGGTAGTGTTAGGACCACGCCAGCAGGCTAAGGGGCTGTTACAATATTCACAAGGCCATATTTCACTTGCCACAGCCGCCGCTATGCTTTCATTGTATTTACATTTCCGACAACAACCACTGCATTACGATATGCCATCTCACCTGACTGTGCTGCCAATGAGCATCTCGGATCTGCTTGATGTGTCGTTCTAACTCCTGGCAAGAACCATACTGAGCGTCGATATCACTCATGCTGCACACACCAATACCACAAGTACAATTATAATAATTGGTCTCAGACATGCAAGAGAACACTGCAAGAGGTACATCTATGTAAGCGCAGATAATAGGGAGGTTTCGCTCTACGTAATTACGTATGAAAATCCGTATGCCGTACGCGCCGGGGAGCGAAGGCAACTTTCATACGTAAATCTCTCTACGGATTTCCGTAGGAAAGCTCTTTCCTACGTTGGGTCCTCCGTAGGACTTTTTGAAATATTTGTTACGCATTTTCCGCATTTGTCTATGGCAACATTCAAGCCACGCGAAACACAAGGTACACACACCGTACACCACGTGCAAAATAAGATGGAAAGTGCGGTTTCGGTTCATGGTGCATGGGGTGGGCGCATGCAGCCAACGCATGTCTAGCAGTCGTGGAGAAATCACGTAGAGCGAAACCCAACAGCTCTGATTTTTACGTATGAAAATACCGTGCAGTTCATACGTTATTTTCATACGTAATTCCGTAGAGCGAAACCTCCCTAATCATTATCGGAACAAAACAAAAAACTCCATTGACTTTACACAGTGGGCAATCCAGACAAACATAGCAACTATTTGTACTACTAGTTGTACATGTATGACTGCACACAACACCTAGCCCAGAGCCAGAGTGCTGCTGCACATAGCCCTACACTTAAAACAAGCCACGCGGTACATGTACTGAGTTCTGGATGAAAAGCAAAATGCAGGGTGTGACACTCATGGACGAAGAAGGGCTTAAACAGCAAAAGGGAACATCAGTGTGCGCCAATGCGCTGCAGAGAACAGCACAAGATGAGTACAGTCATGCACTGGCGAGCACAGCACAACAGTACAGCCATGCAGAGATGCAACCAGCAAGAACATCAATGGTCAAGTGCCTTGGTGGGATACCTCACCTTCCTTTTATCTCCTGCACTTCCTCCAGAGCACTAGAAAGCAGAAAGACACACGGACACACAGATGCATAGACAGACGCACAGACATATTTAGCCAATGCTAGATTATCAACGCGATGCCATGCCAGCAAAAGATCCAGTTAGAAGATTCCACTGAGAGCAGAACCACACAACAGGAGCAAGGCTTGATACTGACAAATGCTGATGTTATAAATGTTTCGACATATCCATGTCTTCTTCAAAGAGAGACAAATGGCCAGCAAACCAGCCAGAGACAAACAGCAGGCAAGAACAAAGTCCCACGGTACACCACATAACTGGTCCGCATGCCGTAGCAACTGTACGCAAAGCCAGTCCACACGCCATACCAGCAGCAGTACATGTATGAGTAAATGGTGTATGCGTACAAATACACCTGCACACTATACAAACAGCATACACAACTTACCTCTTCAATTTATTCAGACCCGTCTTGACATCATCCAGTTGGGTTTGTACAGCTGTTTTAAGCCGAGCGTCCACAGCAGCCTACAGGCAATGCACACAGAAAAGAAAGCGAAATCAGGTCAGCAACCAACCTCTTCTCAAGATGTTCCTGAGAAGAACGACAGATCAAAGTGTGTTCGTTGTTGTAGCACTCCTGTGCAGTACCTGAGCAAGCAAGAATGAAACATAGGGTCGGTAAGAGATGTCAATATAGTCTGCTAGTGTGCGTGTGCAAGGCATTGGTGCCAGAAATAGTGTTAAATACACAGGTAAGTTTCAGGTGTAACATATCTACTGCAGTTAGATGCACACGGCCAGTGTGTGTGTGTGTGTGTGTGTGTGTGTGTGTGTGTGTGTGTGTGTGTGTGTATGTGAGTATGTGTGTGTGTGTGTGTGTGTGCGTGTGTGTGTGCGTGTGTGTGAATGGTGTAATCCCAGCACAAGTTGCTATGTCTAACATAGCCGCTCGCTATCATCGCTTCTGGGATGGACAGGTCTGAGGTGTGAGTGTGTGGTGTATGTGTGTGTATGTATGTGTGTACGCGTGCATGTGTGTGTGCATGTGTCTGTGCATGTGAGCGTGTGTATGTGTGTGCGTGCTTGTGTGTGTCTGTGTGTGCGTCCGCGCGTACTGGACCCTGTCACTTATCAGTACCTTTTGACGCGTGAATTTTCGACGAAGTTGATCCACTTTCTCCAAATGTTCTGGGCGCTGCAGCACAACAGAGGCGGAGTCGACAACAAGAACTCAGTAACTGCGATTCAAACGATGCGTCGCGTATCGAACCAGCTAGTGGACAAATGCATTTAGTGTTGTTTAAACTGTTTCAAGAGCAATATCACTACCTGCAAAAGGTGAGCAACCCTTCTGGCAGCATTTTCCATGCCATCTGACTCCTGGAAGTCCATCTTGGCGAATATCACAACACTTGAACACTACAAAACAAAAAAATCCGTGGATCCAGGTGCCATAAGGTTCGTCCAGCCGCCTTGACAGGCAAACTCAGATACTAGCACTAGTAGTAGTAGACTTCAAAGCTCAAGAGTGTCAAGAACTACAAAACTTCTTCAAACTGTTTATTTTCTGTTTCATGTTTCTTGCCTTGCTATTTTTGCTCCATTCATGCAACATCTCAAAAGATGACGTCAATAATGCACAAAGGAGTAATAATACTACTCCCTGTAACATTGGACTCTTGCTGAAACGACACGTAACCACTGACCAGTCATCTGGTCATCATGAAAGTAAGTTTGAAACATGTGAAATGCAGCGGTATATCATGTTTATGTACGCTGGAACTATTTGGCTTGAGATTTCTGCTCAAAGAGCTGAACAAGGATGGGGGCCACGGCAGCGCACGAGGCGGCTCCCAATAAGTTGGTGCATTCACCCCCCCCCCCCCCCCCCAAGGGTGGTGGCGTTCCTACGGATGCGGAAAACCCGGCTTCCAGCCGAGTCTCACGCGAACCGTGAAAAAAAAATCCCCCCCCCCCCCCCACCCGGGCCTGCTGCTGTTTATGCACTCTTGCCAGTCTTGGTTGTAGCAAGAGTATGGCTGTCATGTAGGAGCTTATTCTTGGTTCAACGGTAGCCGATGATACAGCTCAGTCATGTAATCACTACAGGCTGAGTACAAGTAATGTATGCTACAACAGATTTATCCAACCCCCCTCCCCCCCCTAATTCAGCACAAATTCTGCTGTGCAAATGAGACCCTCATTTGTGGGAGCATGCATTGTGCATTCATTACAATAGTAATACAGGTAGACTCCCTCTAATTCGAATACGGTATAATTCGAACATTCCGTGTAATTTTTTTTTTTTTTTTTTTCAACTGCCAAGCCTCTTATACGGGCAAAATAAACACAATTACGAGTGCAACCTCAACAGCACCGGCAGAAAAACGAGCAAAAAATGGCTGTGAAGACAGTCGAGAGAGCAAAAAATTAATGGCTGTGAAAACAGTCGAGAGAGCAAAAAAAGGCTGAGAGCAAAAATGGCTGTGAAAACAGTCTAGTACGGAGCCTCGGGAGGGAGCTTTAACCGATGCTGCTCATGGCAACCGCAAATCGGGCCGAGTCATTTGCATCTGAGGGCACGCGGTGCCGATGGCCTCGCAGACTGGCAACAGCCGCACGGATGAGGGCAAAGCTGAGCTTACATCGGATGTAGGACATTGTGGCAGCGTACGGCTCCTGCTTCTTGTCGGCGAGCATCGATGCCAGCCGAGCATAGAGTGCTGTCGCAGCTTTGCCATACCCTCCAGTGCAGGACAAGACAACTGGTGAGAAGGAGGCGTGCTCGACGTTGGTGATCCGTTCCTCGTAGCGGCGACGCTTCTCCTGCTCATGTCGCTTGTACACAGCGGGCAAGGCAAACTTGGCGTTGGTGGGGGCGTGGGGGTTGAAAACCCGGACATCAAAGTACGAACGCTCGTACCGACCTCCCCAGACTCCACTGGCACCGATGTCTAGGCGGGCGTTGTCTTCAGTTGAAGCTGACCGTAGCGTCATCCTCTCACCTGTCAGCGGCTCTAGCAGCGGTTCCACCACAACTTGGTGCGCAACTTCCTTCATGATGGATGCTGTGAGGTCGCGTACCTCGTTGTGGCGGAGGCTAGGGTAGCCGCCGGTTGAGCAGGAGAGAGCATGGGCCACGGTGAATGATTTACCACAGCTGCAAGCAGAGGGCAAACGCTTCAGAGGCCAGCCATATCGCAATGAAACCGCATCGTGAAATGCGCCCTTCGATAGCGTGAAGCCAAACATCTTCAGTGGTTTGCATGTCAGCCACGACGAGGCACCCTTCTCCGCCGCCAGCTCCCTGGACCGCTTTAAGTCCGAAGCGATGCTCTCTTCCACAGCGACTAGGGTCTCCTTCTCCCTTACGGAGTGGATCCTGCGCACCTTCGCCTTCTCTGCCTTCATGGTGTGGTGAACATCACCTAGGTCCGTGTTTTGCACGATGATCCGCTCCACCAATGGCTGCGTGATGGTCCTGGAGTCATCCAACTGGCTGGCGAGATCGCACGGGTTGATTAGACCCATGCCCCCTAGGCGACAAGGCAGAGCGAGGAGAGTGCGGGTGGTCTGATCAGGAGCGGGGTGTCCTGTGAGCGCCGGGATAAACTCGCCGTGGATAATCTCCTCCAGTGGCTGGAAATTCTCCGTCGCTTCTGGCATGGTGCGAGCGAGGAATGTCCACTTGCCCTTCAGCCCTTGCGTGAACGCCGTGTACGCTGCTTGTGGTTGCGATTGGGCGTACCTGGTGAGGACTTTCAGTTCCTTCACCCATTCCATGACCTTCGCTGCAACAAACTGCTTGCAGAAAGTAGCAGTGCCCAGTCCCGCACCCAGGTGACGGCAACCATCTTGCATGATCGCGATGTTAGTCCCATGGAACACTTCCTCCGCGGTTTTGGCAAACTGTGGTTTCACCAGGAGAGTGGACTTGGAACCATTGATGAAGTATCCGTACTTGTGGCCCTCCTCCTCGAGCGTGTTCCACCATACACGCAGCGCACGCATACGGCCTGCTGCTGTGGAATCATCCGCAAACCAGATGTGCTTTGCCGCTGAGCTGCTCGCCGCCTTCTGCATGAGTGGGAGGAGCCCAATGGCATACATGGGCATTGCCATCGGGTCTCCCTGGGTGGTGCCCTCCTCAGAAAGGAGACACTCCCCATCGACGAACAGCCGTGCGGGATGCCGGTAGGTGTTGGTGACGGCACCCGCGATGGCCGGACAGAGGTGACGGATGTTGTGCAAGCACACACTGCGGTTCAGCCTGTTGAACGCATTGCTCGCGTCTGCTAGGAGGACTGCTTCGGTCTCTTCCTCATTCCATAGGTGCCGCATTGCGTGGATTGCTGCTTCCACACCACATTCTTGGCCGCCACACAGCTGAAGCGACCCGACCGCCTGTTGGATCTGCTCTCCGATTATGGTGAGGAGAACATTCCGTGTAATTCGAACTTTTTCGTCGTACCGATCTTCTGCAAGTCACTTCAAGTCAAAATCGAATGCATAATTCGAAGTACGAAAAGTGCGCCGGTTGGATAATTCGAACCCAGTCTTCGTACAGAAGAGCTGTTTACAGTACATTGGCTATGTCCTTTGAACGCTTATTTCGAAGTGAGATTGAGTTGCTATCCTTGTAATTCGAAGTTCATTCTTTTCTCCTTCTCTAGCCAAGAGTAGCTCAAAAATCGATCGATGGTCCGCTGCAGGATCGACTATAGCGTTCAAGAAACCCACCTTCTCTCGAAATTTGATTGAAGCCCGTGCAAGGCAAATTGCAAAGGTTTGATTGAAGACGACTTCTTCCAGGTGGCTGACTCTCTTCGCGGATCTCGATGGCCTTTCTTACCGCGCCAGCTCGTGCGCGGAGATGCTGGCGCACAACAACACTATTGTCGTAAATATTGTCTATGCCTTTGCTCCACTTCCGTTCTTCAGAACGACGTGCTGCTGTCCAACGGCCTTTCATGACGCGGATTAGGCAGCGCAGTTCTTTTCCGTTGAAATTGTTTCAGGAAAGCTGCAGTGACTGACAACTTCTTCACTAGAAGATGAAGATAATGTCAACATGATTTTGTGTCGATCCAGTGTTTTGATGATCCGTTGTACATGACCCGTACCTATGTTTCGTTGATGCAAATAAAAATGTGCAAAAAAATATTCAGCATGCGATTTCAAGCATTTTGACATACATATCAGTGCATATGGCTGCATTTGGATAATTAGAAGTTCTGGATAATTCGAAGTTAGGGCCTGGCAATTTGAGGTTCGAATTAAAGGGAGTCTACCTGTATAAGGACCGTGCTTTTGAGGTCAGGTCAAGTTGATGCCGGCCTGAGCCGCAACCGCATGAGCTTCGCCGCTGAGCCTCCGGCGTGGCCTGTGAAAGGGAAACACCCTCTCACACTGATGATGTGGTTATGCAGCCTGAGGAATCAAAATTAATTGTACAATCACGTGTTTACAAGATCCACTGACCATACCCACCGTACAATGATCATCTCAAGTGGAAGTAAGTTGTCATGATGTACAGTAGAACCTCTCTTATACGGGCACCTCAACACTGAAGGGTGCCTGGTAACTCTCTACGCTTCAGAGTCTTCTCTAACCGCCGGAACGCATTACAATTACTTCAAAGTAATTCATAATGGATACGACATCTTTCTCTTCAGTTGGGCCCACTGGTCTGAGATTGACACAAGTCGCATACACAGTATAGAGCTGAGGGTTATGATTTTTCATACGCGGCACTTGAAGTAGTTAAACGGCGGCGTCTTCCTGCCCGTGTGGTGCCCGGATGGGGGGGGGGGGGGGGTACGGGAGGTGTCCGGATAGAAGAGGTTCAACTGTGTGATCACTGGCAGCCTGATCATGTCTTTTTTGGATAGGTTTGAAGATGTGTAGAAGTCTTGAGGCTTCTTGCAGCTTGGAGAAGATATTTGGCTGGACACACCCAACCTCATTTTTTCAACCAAGTAGGTCTATAATTTGTAGATTTTCTTTTCTTTTCATTTAGCCGGGCTGCTCCACTATTATGTGCATGTACTGTCTGTGCTGATGTATGTGTTCTGAATCCAGACTCTTTACTTGGTTGGGGTGCATGGAGTTGGTGAATCTGAAAGGACATAACTAAGACACCATGAACTGTCGGGGTGGCCGGCCGGCCGGTAGAAGGTCCGAGGTGCCCGTAGTTTGGAGGCCCGTCCGGATAAGAGAGATACCGGCATGAGTGGACCTGCAGTTTTCATCGTCCTGCCAGCTGGTACGGAATCTACTGTGTGTGGGTCCTGCGTGTTCCACAATCCACGTTACCACTCGATCATGAGGTGCAGAAGATTAAATGAATTGACCACTGGCAACAAAGTCAAGTCGTACATGTACCACCATCGATACGGTTTCGGTGGCGCTCGGATCATCCAAAGGAGGGCTAATGCACAGTCTTATTGTTATCTCCGCCTCCGATGATACGATGCCTCGATGTCAACGCAGGCCGGCCTGAATGTACAAATAAGGCTACCGGGCTGAAGAGTACAGCACGCCCATCAACCTCACATAGACCAACAAAACACACGGCAGGGGTGGTAGAGAGACTGTACTGACTGCAACAGGGAACCTCCTTACAACAAGCTACAGGTATGGTCCTACATCATGTACTGATTACGACTGTAGATCTACAAAGACTCAGCTGGCCCACAGGCAAAGAAATGTCAGTGGCTAACTCTAGTTGATGCACTCTTGCTCATACATATGCATGGGAAGTAAAATGTTTTCTCCACTATACAGTCACCTCGGACCCTCTGAGTCTCTCCGTCTGGTTTCTCCTGTCTCTGCGAAGCTAGGAGTGTCCCACGGTCGTGCAAGACTGCTGTCACCCTGTCAGCACTTCAATAGACAACGTTGCAACCTAAATTCCATCGTCAGCACAAGATCACGATTTGACTCCGTGCTATGTTCGCTGCAGTCCATGGTTACGGCAGTCTGTACACACGCTGGGCCACGCGAAATCCGTAAATCATGACAAGACGTCTTTTTTTCCGTTGCCTTGTTTGGTAGGATTTGAAATGTGTTCTGACCAGCTGCGGTGAACTGTGGCAGGTGCTGGCCGGTGGACCTACAGCTGAGCAGGCCGCCTTTCGGATAGAAAAAGCAACTGCAAGTCCCTTCCTTCTTCAGAACTAGTTAGAGCCATCCTTACAAACTTTCGTCCTTCACGCTGGTCGTACGGGCGAAGTTTTCTTCTAGTCCTCACTGCCCCAGTTTCCCGTTTTAGTAAATCCTCATCATCATGTATATGCTCGCCGCGAGATTCCTCGTGGTACTTCTGCTGGTCAGAAGCTGCTGGTCCGATTGCTATATGCACAACCCAAGAGGCAGCAACAACCGCCTCAACGAACGATCGGCCAACAGGAAAAATGGCAACCGCGTATTTGATTCTCAGGTGAGAAATCAAGTGCAAATCTGTGAATTGGTCATGATGAGTCAAATGCAAATCTCATGCGAAATTCTGCTGCTGGTCTGGGTGGCCCGGGGTGGTCACATAGCTTTGCGGGCTCGGAGTAGACCAGGTACACAGTCAGTCAGGTAGTGCCAGTAGGAGGCAGCAATGTCATGTGAAGTGATAATCTTATACTAGTACGTGACAAAGAGGGTCTCCCTAAAGATCACTAACTTTATGCTCTGGAAGTAGAGGAGATTACAAGTTATATACTGGCTTTTGCACTTACCCACACGAACGTTGCATTCCACCATGGTACATGTACATGCCGCATTTGCAGTGATGCAGGCTGGGGGAGGGGGCAATAAGTAGATGATAAAGGCGCTTGTCGGAAATGGCATATTCTTCACAAGTACATTTCTGCCTTTTGTGTGTCTACAGAACAACAACCGAGGAGGCTACAACGTAGGAGACCCTGGTACAACACCCTTTCAGACTGAGATTGGGCAGTATAATATGGTAAGTGCACCCGATCCTGCCACCGTCTGTGTGCATGAACTGCCACGGTGTACCAACAACAAGTACTGCTCATGTTCACTGGTCCGAATGTCAAATGACTACTGAAGTACATGACTTGATTGTGCAAACAAACAAGGCCGGTCTACATATAGGCAGCTCGAGGTGGAGTGCTCAATACATGCACGGCTTGATTGTATTCGTTTTGTTGTTGTTGTTTGCCACTGTCGGGTGCAGAAATACTTCCAGAGCGGTACACTGGGCAGCTCTGAGTTGGAAGTCGAGTGGACAAACCAGCATGGCTGTGGTGGTAACGAGGACAGTGATCCACACAAGCTCAACTGCAACATGGTGCTGCAGTATATGTGTCAGGTAGGTGGTCACTAAATACCCGTACTCCCCGTAGTCACCATTTTACACGTGTATATATATATGTATACACATATACACATATCACGGTATAATGTATGTATATTGATTTTTGCAATGTCTCCATATAATGTGGCTAAGTCAACTGTTCTCCTATGCTTAGGTGTGGTATGTAGCTCAAACCTGGAGACCAGCAATACAGTACTCTCCACAGATCGATCATACATACGTGCATTTTGCATTCTACATTGTATTGTGGTCTTGCAGGATCACGATGACTCAATCGACAACACCAATGACTTCCCTCTGCCCTACCTCCGCAATGGAGACAACACCAACACCCAGCAATACAACGCTCGTGCAACCGGCACCAAGAACGAAACACAGTCGCAGATGAACAACCGCATGACTAACGCTGTCGAACAGGACCGTGTGATCCACGAGAGCTGGATGAACTACGACCGATGCTACCAACGCGAACGCAATCGCAGTAAGTGCAATGAAACCAGTAGCATCAGCATTAGCAAGGTTCTGCTCCCATGACAGGAATGCAACACCCCAGCTTGAGTACTTGCATACTTGACCTTCACGTATCGCAGAGAAAATCTTCTACTCTACAGAGCCGTGTATGTCGTGTGTTCATGCAAACAAATCACGCGGAATGCATACTTGTATTTTATTTTCTCCTCCGAATGCGGCCGTTTTCTGAAGGTCCGCTGGCAAATTCACTCGATGAGTGCCAGATCTGAACGCATCTCCTTTGTGTGTGCCACCACGTAGGAATCATCTCCGCATAGAAACCTGAGCCCCCAAACACTCGACGCCTGCCTCTAATCTAGACACATGTTCTTTCTTTGTGTGATTTCTCTACATGAAGCAGAGCGTTGAACATCTCTATCGAATGTATCTGCATATCTTCTTACATACTCTATACTTGTTTTTCGATTTTGACAGCATGTTACAAGGCGAGGACGCGTAGTGCTGTCAAAATCGAAAAACATGTTAAACTACCAAGCAAGGCTTCTGTATATATACCATACTCTATACTTCTGTTGTTGTTCTTTGTGCCATTTGGCTTATGTCGAAATGGCCTGGGCTATAGGTTTGTTGACTCTGTGTGTGTGTGTGTGTGCGTGCGTGCGTGTGTGTATCTTTCTGGTACTCAGACCTCTTCACGGCTGACCAGCAACTGCGCAACGGTCGCTTTGGCTACAGCTCTGCTATCTACACGCGCCAGAACCCCCAGGGCAATCGCCGTGGCTACGAGTGCCCAGAGGAGCGCGACTACTATCCCTACTGGCATCCAACACCATGGATTGACATTGCTGTACTGACCGACAATGTCAGCCATTGTGAAACCTACTACAAGGCACACAGCCAGAACGCTGAGCTCAAGTACCAGTGCTACGACAACTACAACCAACAGGACATGAAGCACTATTCTCGCTGGAACAACAGGGCCGACTGCCTGAAGAACAGTGGAAACTGGCTGTACAACCGCACCGTTCTGGAGACCCTCAGCGCCAGCACATTGACTGCATGCCGCACACAGAACACGGTAAGGCGCCGGAATGAGATCAGTGACCCTTTTCTATACATATGCCATTGCTGACTCATGTACCGTGTGTGCATCATGGTGATAATCAGAGTGAACTTAGACCAAAGGATCTACCAGATCAAGTTGTTAGTACTAGTTTCTTACCATCATGCTTGGGGAATCTAGTACCAGCTAATACGTATACAGTCAGACCTCACTTAACCGCACACATCCGTTTTCCACAAAAATACCCGGATAGGTGAGGGAACTGGATAACCGAACACAGGTTAAGTTGGATGCACCACGTATGCTGTAAATCTGTAATCAGCTATTTTGTTCCGGATGGCGAGGGATCTGGATAAAAGAGGACCGGATAAGCGAGGTCTGACTGTACAAGAAGCTTTTTTCTTAGCGTGAAGGAGAGGAAAGTGTGGAGCAGAGTGATGTGTGCATAATCTGCATACGTCTATCAGAATCCACCAATAACTGAACACATCGTGTGCTTCTTGTTTCTGTCTCATAGACCGGCAACGTCTTCTGGGGCAAGGTCTTTGAGGCCGATCCAGATGTGTGCTACGTTCTGCCTGCTCCAGTCGACTGCCAGGCTGCCGATTGGTCCCGTGTCAATCATCTTGGAAACGGACGCGACGGACAGCCTCTTTCGTACAAGTGGCAGCTGCCACGCTTCCCGTCTGGCAAGGAGAAGCGATGTGTTTTGAGAGTCAGGTATGTGTGGGCTGCTTTGCATGTGTGGGTGTGTGCGTGCATGTGTGTGTCTGCCTGTGGGTGCGTACATGCATGCATGCATGTGCGCGCGCGCACGCGTGTGTGTGTGCCATGTAGTGGATTTGTGCATGGAACAGCACCATGTTACATCACCACCAACTCGTCACACGTCATGGTTTATAGCTGAAAATTCTAAAATCGATATCTTCTCTCTTTGTGTTGCATGTGTTCTTTGCCTGCCTGTAGGTACAACATCAGCACAGATGACTATGATCCATGGACCACCACCTCCAAGCACAACCGAAATGCGTAAGTGCACCGTGACTAGACTAGTGCATGTCCCGTGTGCCCAATCTGTGCAAGCCTCCTGTATTTCCAATATTATCATACCAACAAGGCACCTGGAATTGTTGTCTTGCCAACAATGCACTTTGAACGTTGTCACACCGATGCGGAGAACCAGTGTTGGTGTTGTAACTTGTAACGTACCAGATACCAAACTCTCCTCTGTGATGACACGCCGGTCATAGGCTATCTTGCGTGTGCTTGGGGTGACTGATTGACATGCAGACCAGTATTCTACTTGTGCTTATGCCATTCTTCTTGTTTGTTGCTTACTTTCTCGTCGTTGAATTATGGCATGTTCATTTTCTATTCCGTGTCCTGCTTGTTGCAGTGCTCTGGGTCGTCGCTCACCCGTCGAGCAAAACCCCAACATCAACATTGGTAGCAACACCAACCAGGCCCTTCGTCTCGCCATCAACACTGCCCAGTTCGGCCGCACCTTCCAGGATCGGTCCCACGTCATCCGCCTGGTTCCCAGGACTGGGCTCGGTCAACCCACGGCCGATGCCATTAATATCAAGAACTTGAACGTCCGCGGCAAGCGTGGAAACATTGTGCAGACATTCCCGTCAGTCGAGTATGACTTTGTGCCAACCCGCATGGTCATCAACGCCACCGACTACGTTCACATTCAGTGGACAGGTAAGCTTGGTCACGGGGGAAAAGCAAACTAACTCTGTAGCGACTAGTACAAGTAACACACGAGTCTGCTCTACCTTCTTGGCATTGGGCTTTCTCTTGAAGCATTCCCAGTATAGTGAGCTGCAGAGCAGTTATCGGCTATACTGTTGCAATCTTGCCTTTTCTCTGCACGTACATGTGTACAAGTAGTATGAATTCTTGTGATGTGTTTGCCGTTTGGCATTTTTAGTGCTGATCCCTTTAAAAGTACATGGAGTTTTTTCTAAACCCCTTTAGAAAAAACTTACACAGTACAAGTAGTACACACGTACCGTATTATCTCTATTATAAGCACAGTCTCCAATAATAGCACGTCTCCAATAATAGAACACCTTGGGGCGGCATTCAAAAAATAAAGTGCTCAATCTCCATTATAAGCACACTGTGTGAATTCATTATCTGTGCCGGCGAAAAAACCCTGAAATGTGTGTGTCTGACATGAATTTGGCATGGCAACATGCCTCTGAAATGAGGTTGAAATAATAATGGAACAGTCTCCAATAAAGGAACGTCTCCATTAATAGCACGGGGCGGAGGTACATTGAAAAAATAAAGGACCGTGCTTATATTAGAGATAATACGGTACTATGCAATCCATATTTGGCCACTTTCAGCATTACATGCACTCCTATTCTTGTATGGCTCTGGGCTACTAGTGATCTGACTGAGCCAACTACTTGTAAGTACTTATCTAGATCTGTCCTGGCTGCATGTCTCTTTGTTCTCCTGCAGGTTCCAACACACACAACAACGGTAACCCTGCTGGTGATGGACAGGCTGGTGATGCTGGAGAGGGTACAGGAGGTAAGCAATGCTACCGCCTTGTGGGAATTATGAGTCTTTGTGATATTAAATCCTGGCAAGTTTCTGGTGCTGCCAGCTCGCTCTCTCCCTCTCTTCCCCTCCTCTTCCTCCTCCCCCCCCCCCCCCACCCATACATGCGCACACGCACATACACGCGTACGCACACACACACACACACACACACACGTGCACACACTTGATGTTACTGATCTAGTGTGCACCATGTAGTCTATGGCAGGAGAAGTGTGTCCTGTCAGGCTGTGTTGCCTTGCGTACCATACTACATGTATGCGCGGCGCCGCTATTGTTTTAGAATGGCTACTGTTAGAACAAATGACTTGATCTTGGGCTACTGTTAGAACAAATGACTTGATCTTGTCTAACTGTAAGTGCATCTGCCTTGCTCTTTTGCTGTCCTCCAAAGGTACTGACCGCCACAACATGGTCGAAATCTCCTCTTCAGATGTCAACTACCCTTTGCCGTTTGAGTCCTCGGGTATGTTCAAGAACGCTACCATCTTCTGGAGAAGCTTTGCCACCGACAAGGGTGCAACATACACCAAGCAAGACCTGGCTGTTGCCATGGCCTCTTCCGGCTACTTCGGTTGCTTCGAGGGCTGCGCCAAGGCTGCCAAGACTGCCACCACAGCACTGAACAACTTGCTGAACAACGCGCCAGCATCATTCGAGGGTGCAGTCCTGTCATTCCCCGGCAGCAGCGAGAGAGACACGATCTACAACTACATCTGCTCGCGCAACAACAACTTCACAAACCGAAGCCAGAAGGGCAAGATTACTGTGAAGCGTACAGCTTCTCAGTAAATAATATTCTCTCTTTTCTCTGCTGAAACCTCTTCTACTCTAATTTGCCTTTTCCTGGTCTATTTTGTGTGTGTGTGTGTGTGGGTCTGCAGCTTTGCGATTTTGTGAGGTGACTGAACTATCTTGGTTTCCTCATGGCAGTGCTCCTCAGCAGCCAATCATGAGATCATTCAATCACCGTTGCATTCACTAATGGGCAGGGTCGGTCAACTCTCCACTTCTTATTCTTAGCTCCTGCTGGCCAGGGCTACGTTCTTTTTCTTTCCTTTTTACACTGTCGCCATAGTCGGACAAACAAGATCGTTTGCTCTTAGGCTATTTTTTATTTTTGCTATCTTGAGAATTTGTGCTGGCCCACGCATCAATACCAACTCACACAGTGGAATGTACGGTGATGGTCTCACTCACGTGCAGGCTCATGCATACTTCATAGCTCATACCTCTGCTCTTATCAATAAAGTATTGAAGAAAGACAGAGACCTGTAGACCCATTCAAGTACAGTCAGTCCTCGCTTATCCGGATATTTTTGTGGAATTAAGCGAGGTCTGACTGTAATCTATCTGTCTGACTGTACCATATTTCCACCTGGAAGCGCCACAATCCCGACCAACTTTTTGAACGTCAAGTAGAGTCACCGAATGGCAACTAAGATCTATCTGCAATATGGGAAAGAGGTTGGCTTATACGTGTACTACGATGGTCAAATCAGTGAATGCTGATACACATGTACAGGGTAGATCACGGTCTGTATTTCATGACAGAAAAATCTGGGTGCGGCTTATACTCCGGAAAACACGGTACCAAGAACTATCCCCACAACCAACTCAACTTCAATTGCTCCTGACCAACCAGTGTAGTACTGGGTGGAAAACACATAGGCAAAGCCAGTTTAGTCTGCAGTACACTCAAACGCCTCTTTTTGGGAGGGTTGAGCTTTTTTCGTACATGTATGCGCAAGTTTATCAATGGATTCTTTCTTTAACCTGAACATGTGCATTACGTGCCAAATAAACTTCTTCAAAAAATGATAATTAGTGGGCATCTTTGGGGGAAGAGGGCGAAGAAACTCTGCAACATTGACCTCGGCAAGCCACGAACACTACCCGATACCCGATAGATGGTGACAGTGTTCACACCAACGATGCCGGGCCGATAAAGCCGATGCCTTTGGCAAATTCTTCGCCACCCAGTGTTCAGGCTCAGCGACCAGAGAGTTCCTTGGCGTATCACACCCAGATACCAACACCAATACCAATGACTCCTTTGATTTCGGACTGGTGTCCCCAGCGGAAGTGTATATGGCAGCGAGAGACTTATCTACCCGTGCAAAGCCACAGCAGACCGTTACATAACAAACTCAGTCATTTCTCAATGCGCAGACCTACTCTGCGACTCCTTAGCAACATTGTACAACATAGTTTAGATGAAGGGCACTTTTCCGTCTGCCTGGAAATCAGCAACAGTTATTCCTGTGTTCAAGAACAAAGGCAGCCCCGCAGAGCCCACGAACTACAGGCCTATTTCGCTCTTACCCTGCCTGGCCAAACTGCACACCGTCACCTGCGGTGTACCGCGAGGATCCCACCTGTCCCCGCTCCTTTTCATCATCTGCATCAATGACCTCCCTAGCCTTATGAAGTCTGCCACACCCTTCGTCTACGCCGATGATGTTACTTTGCTATGTCCCAACACAGCAGCCAGCCAGGGTACTAGTACTACAGTCCGTATCGCCTATTAGCGTTGGTGTTTGATTATGAGCATTTTATCATAATAATTATCACTATGACCGATACTGCATGCAATGTATGCGAGTGGGGGTGTCAAACGACTCAGGGCACCATGCACATACGCACTGCATAGCTGGCTACAGCTCATGTCGCACAAACAGCATTTCCTCACGATGGAGGCATATTTTGGCAACTTGTGCAAGCAGAACTCACTAAACAACACTGGACAAGTTAGTTCTTCACGCAGAACCTGTAACACTCTGTTCTCCTCTGACACCACTTGATTTTACATCAATCACTATAATCGATGCAAAAATAATGTAATAAAGGTCTTTTGAAATAAGAATTTGATCACTATAGGCGATATATTACTATAGACGATTATTACTATACGCGATAATTGTGTATACTGTACTTAGTTATGGCAAATGAAAATGAATTTGATAAATTGATCACTATCTCCGGTATATTACTATAGCCGCCAACCTTATAGGCGATACGGACTGTACTAGTACTAGGCAACTACTGATGCAGTCAGATGTTGATGCGTGTCAAAGCTGGGCCGGTGGTGAGTTTTCAGCGGCCAAGACATCAGTCCTTTCCACCAGAACGGTCTGAACCGGTCCTACATACTCCCTAGACGGCGCACCATTGCAGGTTGTGTCCACCATTAAACATCTGGGCGTCCTGTTTGACTGAAGGCTATCATTTCAGAATCATTTCGAATCTGTGCTCTCGAAGCCACGGTTCCGACAACGTGTGCATCTGCTATGTTATAATATTATGTCAAATCGTCTAACAACAAAAGTACTATGAATAGGATGAAGGCCGCAGACATCACGCAACTACGTTACTTGTTTGACATGTATTTACTGTGTATTTTATAACAAAAATATTATTGAAAACCCATAATCGATTTTTCTTGTTCCTATCATCAGTGGGAAAAATACGGAACTAAGGATACAACCAAAGAAACTGAAGTTAAGTACTGTAAATAGAAAGGTGTTAGAAATAACAACAAGATACAAGTGCAATAAAACCACTAGAGGAAACGCAAAAGGTAACAAGATTACGTAACCAAAGGCGAGAAGGCGCTAAACGAAGTGTCAACCTACGAATACAACTTCAGTGCAACCACGTGCTCCTTCTGCTTACACAAAACAGGCGTATGAATACGTATACAAACTGCCTCAAGGACTTTCAACTGTTGGACATAATGCGCACGACACAGTACAGAAAAATGAGAGTCATCATACACACTAAGACAGTCAGGACGAGATAACAAGTGTAGATACACAGCTGACTTCTTACGAGCAACACTTTCATCCGCCTCATCTCGCTCCTTCCCACCCGACTCCTCCTCGTCCATCTCATCATCCTCTTCCTCGTTCCGCTCGTCATCCTCACGATCATCATCACTACCATCATCTGCCTCGTCCTCTGTCTCCTCACCAACCGTTTCGTCATCCAATTGCTCTTCCATCCTCTGATCACCTGTCTCATCCTCCGTTTCTGTACAGACCACTTGTCTCCCATTTGCTAGCTGCTCTTCCCGTGAGCGGAGTTGTTCCCCCAGATCCGCCGTATCAAACAGCATGTACCACTGCATATTCTGCCGGATGCAGCTAAATCCAAGCGGCCGAAGCGTGGCCGACCGCGCAAGAACCCACCCCCTGTGCCAGTGGTACAGACTGAGCCAACACAAAATGCGGTACCGTGTGAGAGGGCTAGGCTGCCCAAGTTACCAACTCCAGCAGCACCACCGTTGCCCTTGTATCGGCGGCAATTAGGCATATGCGGATAATGCCGGCAGAAAAATTGGCAGAATTCGGTACTTTTTCTGGTAAGTTTCATGCATGTTTGGTACATGTATGTGGATAAAGAAATGGAGCAGAATTCGAGGAATTGCCCGCCATAAGGCTTGTATGGTTCTGCCATTTTCACTGCTTTTCGAGCAGAATCTGCCACCTTTTCGAGCATTATCCGCACACCCCTAGCGGCAATTCATGTGTTTGGTTACGCTGCATAAGTTTATCTTCCACCACCCTAGTTACCTCTCACAATTTAGTTTCACTGTTTCTAATTCTGTTTCTGTTTCTAAAAGTGCTCGGTGGCCTAACAAAATCATTTTACCTAAATACAAATCGTTATCAAAGTCTATGTTCCTATTTAGAATTTCTGTACTTTGGAACTGTCTACCACCGAAGATGACCGCTGCAGACTCCCTGCAGGAATTTTAAAGAAGAGTTTACGTCTATATATACACACGAGTATGCCCATAGGACCACTGGCATTCCTACACCTCAGCAGTAAGTGCACATCACACTTTCCTTTGAAGTGTTATTGTCTCATTCCATATGTCTGGCTAATTTATTCTATTCCCCACCCCCTGTTATGCTACCTATTCAATATCGCACAGGTGGAGAACCCCTCGATAAGCTTTGGGCTACAGACTCCCTGTGAGGCTATGCCACCCGTCAATGAGCAACTACCCTCGTCCATCATCTCTTTCTTGTTTTATATTTATTTCTCTTCTCATCTCTTTCTTGTTTTATTTTATTTCTCTTCTCATCTCTTTCTTGTTTTATTCTCTTCTCATCTCTTTCTTGTTTATTTTATTTATTTCTCTCTCTCTCTCTCTCTCTCTCTCTCTCTCTCTCTCTCTCTCTCTCTCTCTCTCTCTCTCTCTCTCTCTCCTCTCTCTCTCTCTCTCTCTCTCTCTCTCTCTCCTCTCTCTCTCTCTCTCTCTCTCTCTCTCTCTCTCTCTCTCTCTCTCTCTCTCTTTCTCTCTCTCTCTCTCTCTCTCTCTCTCTCTCTCTCTCTCTCTCTCTCTCTCTCTCTCTCTCTCCCTCCCTCTCCCTCTCTCTCTCTCTCTCTCTCTCTCTCTCTCTCTCTCTCTCTCTCTCTCTCTCTCTCTCTCTCTCTCTCCTCTCTCTCTCTCCCTCTCCCCCCCCCTCTCTCTCCCTCTCTCTCTCTCCTCTCTCTCTCTCTCTCTCTCTCTCTCTCTCTCTCTCTCTCTCTCTCTCTCTCTCTCTCTCTCTCTCTCTCTCTCTCTCTCTCTCTCTCCTCTCTCTCTCTCTCTCTCTCTCTCTCTCTCTCTCTCTCTCTCTCTCCCTCTCTCTCTCCCTCCCCTCTCCCCCCTCTCTCTCTCTCTCTCTCTCTCTCTCTCTCTCTCTCTCTCTCTCTCTCTCTCTCTCTCTCTCTCTCTCTCTCTCTCTCTCTCTCTCTCTCTCTCTCTCTCTCTCTTTCTCACTTGATCTCCCTCCCTCCCTAGCTGCATTCCTAACGATGCCTGGTCGTAGGCTATGATTCCGAGACCTCCGGTCGGATGAGCCTCGCCAACCACATCGGCACATCGCCCCTACTCCCCTTTGTCTTGTTGTCCAGCGTCATTTCAGTTGTCCTCTTCCCCTGATTATTAGTAGGGCTGTGTTTTTTAGTAAAAAAAAAAAAAAAAAAAAAAAAATAAGCTACCTATACCTGCCTCTGGGTCATCCCTCAAATAAAGATAATAATCAGGGAGTAGTACAATAATATTGTACTACTCCCTGATAATAATACTAATAGATCTACATGTGCATCTAGCTACAATAGTACAAGCCTCACCAGCACAGGCTTGCTTTGCAGCCCCTACTCTCCCTGCTGTTTTTGTCATTGTATACTCTGTTGTCTTCTCCCCTTCTGACGAGTAGGTTGTGTACTTAGTAAAAAAAAAAAAAAAAAAAAAAAAACCCGGGAATATCGTGG